ACTGAACCCCGGGGCTGAAAGCTCTAGCAATTACTTTAACTTTTTCACTTAGTCACACTTCGCTTTGCGAAATTTCCAGAACAATACTGGTTTATGGGCAAAACCATAAATCAACATTCTTAAAAAATACTATAATATAATTACAGGCTAAAAGTTCCCAGACACACACAGTTTTGAACGGAACCATCTTTATGGAAGTTAATTTCATTGAAAGTTTGAAAACTCGCATATTCGAAAAAGTGGTTCGAAAAGGCAACGAGACTATTTTGATGAGGAAGCACAAATCTTGAAGCTAATCATGCTTGCCTTAGCCTTTCTAAATAAGAAGGATGTCACGGTTGAGGACTGAACTCGTTGCATGCGAAAAACACCACCATGTTTTTATTGAATAAATTTCGACGAAATTTCAGTAAACTGAAGAGAGGAAATAGTCTAAAAATTCATAATCTTCCAGCCCTTGTCATCCACATATTTAAAGGGAATTATGGATAATGCAAGAGTAAGTGTAATGAAAATCTCGTTCTTACTTCATAACTGTATCATTTCACATCCTTCAGAGTAATCCTACCAGACTACCGACGCCTAGTAGATCCCAACTCTACCTCAGCATCCAATACCTGAATTTGAATGCGGGAATGTCCGTTCCAAGTGCGGCTAGTCTGTGCTTCTTCCTTCTTCATCTGTCCTCGATCGGCCTCCGCGCCTAGTTTCGCTAACTAAACGCAAGCGGATTGTGCGGGATTCAATGCATTCAAAACGCGATCGATGTTAGTAGCTAGCACCTTTTGTTGTTAATCGCTATGCCTCCAATGAATGATGTCCTCTGCTCAGTATCTAATTTTTTTCGTTTATTTTTAATATGCTGCTTCATAAGACCGCCGTCACACTCGGCGACGGACAAGCGATGGAGCGATCGCGATTGCTGTGCCGAGTGTGACGGCGGTTCTAAAAGAGAGGTATGTACCTGAGGTACCTTTTTCGCCGCTCGCGTAATTTTTATCTTGATGGCAAACAAGCTTCACCTTTTTTGTGAACTTACTGCTTTTCTTCTTATCTACTCCTTTGTTTTTATTTGTTGTTCGAGAAATTGAAGATATTACGTCACAAATGAACTTTTTAACGCACTGAAGGCTATGTATACTAGATTACACACAAATTATCCAGAGACCACTGAAAGACCACTGAAATGGTCTTTAGAAATTTTGTAAAGCTACCATTGCTTAGGATGATCCTGCTTGATCCATTGACATCTGCCATACTACGGCAACCTTTTTCGTAATCTTTCATATGTCAACGTGTAAAACATCAATGGCCGCAACGCCGTCATCTAAAGGACTATCAACCATAATAACTCTGCGAAAAGAGAGGTGCGTTTACCTAGCCTAACATGATTTTTTGAGAAGTATCAGAACTTATTATTGCTGCATTCTAGCACGCTTGTAAAGCATTGGTTTTGCAAGCATTTCTTAGATGGCGATAGATGTAGTATTTTCAGTCGTTTTAAGTCTCCATCTCATCTCCTTTTCAGAACCTCACAGGTTTTGAAAATGGTTAACACTTCTACCGACGGGATCTTGATCCTCTGATGGCCAATTAATCTCGCATGTACCAACGAGATGGATCAGGTTTTTAGATGGTAAGTTCCTGTCTTCACCTACATACATTTTTCAGACATTTCAGATTTCTTTTTTGATACCTCGCTGGTGAGCCATGATCATTTCATGAGCCATGATTGAACCATATAATTTTTGATGTTAGTAATG